TTCAGTTTAGGATTATTTCAGGTTCACCTCTTCCAGACCTTCTTTTGTGGCCTTACAGAGCACTGGTCTGTTATGCATTCCTTACAACCCGACTAAAGGCTAACATTGAACTGAGAAGCACATTACTGAAAACATATTTGCTTTTCGGGCTTTCATTAAAATATCTCCTTAATTATCATCCAGGAAAAGCATTTCAGTGCTTTGAATATTTAGGAAAACTGTACTTCTTCCTAAAATGTTCTGACTTCACTTTACAATCTTGTCATAATGTACATAGCAAATAAGCAATTAAATCCAAAATGTACAAAGCACACATGTCCTAAGTGACTTTATAATTTCAGGAGAGGTGTTGAATCAATGCACAGAAGACACATCATTAGCACTCGGGTCAGTCAGGGACTTTCTGTATGTACATATATATGCAGGGTACAGTCATATAGGCTGTACTTTTTTACCTCAACAGCTGTCAAAACATCTCTGCATTTCAATAAAACAAGCAGTTAAAATTTGTTAATAATTAAGGAATTCAATTAGTCAATCAACTTTCTAATTAATTTAACAGGTTAATTTAACTCTCCTAGTTTTTCTGCCATGCAGATTCTATATGTCTATATTACAATGCTGAGGCTGTGGTGGAAAATTGAAAATACATCTGTCAGAGGAGCTATAATCACAATATAAATATTAGATATTAAAAATATCTAATAAACTAAAGAGTTCACAGGCACTGATGTGTACAGCTTACAAAAGGCTTTCCCAGTTTCCAGGGTGACAGAAAATTAGGCACTGACCACAAAAAAAAAAATTGTAAAGGCATTTTTACAACTCTGTATGAGAATGAAATACCAAATTACATTGGAAAGTACTACAAATGAGCATTAATGCACATGTCTGAAATTACTCAGTTTTATCATTACTGAAGCTAAATTCAAGATAAATCAAATGAGCAACTAAGATATCATAGAGCACTTTTATCAGAGCTCTGTCTTGACTTCCAACTTCAGAGAATTGGCATAGTTGGAGTAGTCAATTCACCAACCTCTTTTTATTTTTGTCATGTCAGAATGAGGGATCTGTAACATGGTCCTATGAAGCAGGGAGTCCAAAGCATTTCTCAGACCCATGTTCAGAAGACAGACAGACTGCCATAACATAATGAGATCAGGGCACTGAAGCAAACAGAAGGTACTATTCTGACAGTAGCTCATAAAAGACTCCCATTTAGGTGACTGATTAATTCCTTGACGATTTTTGATGTCCATTAACAATTTTAATTTCCAAAAGAACAAATCAAAAGATGTTCCTAAAGCCTTGGAAAGCTTCACTATATTTTTCCCATAAGAAGCAATCATTCCTATACCTCTTAAAAATGCAAGTTTTTTAGAACAATTAATATTTTTGTTAATGTATATATACTATATAAAAGAAGAAAATATGAGTTTGAACCGAGAGTTAGAGGAAATTATATGAAACTTGAACTGGAAGTGAGTCCAGAGACTGTCAAATGTAAGGACAATTTCTACACATTATTTGGTGCACTTATTATTAAGATGAATGAAGAAACAGAAGAGCCTGTGGTCAAGATGCCAAAGTAAAAACAAGAAGTATGGACTGACATTTTTATCTGAAGTGGAAAAAACAAAAACTATTTTTAGCAATCTGCTGGTATTCTGACTAAAAAGTTAAAGTAGAGTTGAATTTTTTTGCTGAAATTCATATTTGAAAAAGACTGGTGATTCAGCTGAAAGACAACAGATATGAATAAAATTTGAACAGAAAAAAATAACTTCAACAAAAGGTAGCCCATAAAAGACAAGATAACAGATTGTGCTTTTGGGCCCACCATTGCTGGAACACTTAGAGCCATATCAGAAGATCATCCCTTGGGGCTCTGTAGAAAGACTGCTAGTTTAAATGCACATCAACCATGCCTGTCTGTTTTAAACATGCAGGAATGAAAGAGGAGGGCTAAGCAAATGTCAGAAGCATGTCCCAGCACTAGGCTGGACATGCAGTACCTGTAAAGAACTTTAATCAGTTAATTTAGACTTGCTGCATTTTTCTCTCTGTCCTGGTAAATTCTTCCACAAGCTCTTTGTTACTCCTCACTTGCTGGGTTGGCAAAAATTATGTACATTGGCATCATCATGTACTCAAAACTTCTCTAGTTTTGAGTAGTTCTATTTATTGTATTTGGGGTGGTATGTAGGGTATGACCTAAAAGGTGATTTATGAAGTCAGAGAAACAGTTTTCTTTTTTAAAATACAGCCAAAATCAGTCTGATTTGAGCTGTATTAACTAAGGTGTCAAATTGATACATTCATTTGAATTTATCTCCCTTTAGGTAGCACAATTGAAAAATTGTTATAATGAGAGCTCATTTTAGCAATAATGTGGATGATTTGACAGTAATGTTAAATATGGTGAAGGAAGTGAATAATTTCATTACCCAGAATCTTTAGTTAAAACGGCACAAAACCAGCAGCATATTAACAATGCTAATAGGATTCTAGAAAACCAACTGGATCTTGAGTATTTATAAAATGATCTTCATGATAAGAAGGATGTTTACATGGAAGAACTTATTCTTCTGCAGCTCAAATACTATTCAGAATAAGAATGGACAGCTGGGATGGGAGAAAACTGGAGCAATAAAAGAGTTGATATAAAGAGAAGGAGCATATTACAAGATTTAGCAGTAACAGCAATGAAGTTGTTTGCAGCCAGGAGAGCAAGACTGCTTGTGTAACAGGCCCAGTTGTGTCATTTGCTGATAGCTGATTGGAAAGAAGGAAAAGAGTAACTCCTCCAGACTACAAAAGTTGCTTTGCTGTCTGTGTGTGGGCGATGGTTTATAAATAAGGCACATAAGGAATTCCAAACCCTGGAGATGGTCCCAGGGAACACTGGGGTCCTGCTTGCCCACACAGGGTCTCACCTTGAGGACAGCCACAGAGTAGCTCTCAAGACCTGGTCACAGGTCTCCCTCCACATCTGACACAGCTCCTCTGCTCAGGAGGAGATATTCCAGGGTCATTTTCTTTCTCCTGTGACAGGAATCATACAAGCACAGAAAAAAGCATGCACAAGGTCTCTCTGTCAGTCAGGACATTTCCTTCATGCATGGTAAAAAGATGTAAGGACTGAAAAGTTTAAGCATGAGAGAGGAATATGGCCAAAGGCAGAAAGCTAAATTTATCCTCCTTAAAACTCAGAGGGCAGCCATTGTACAGCACAATGTGAGTGTTAATCCTTCAGCCCAGCTTAGAATGGGGAGACAGCTAATATTTAATTGGAGTTGCTAGTGCAAAACATCTTGGCTGCATATTTCTGTTTAATTATTTTTAGTTTAAGGTTGAAGAGTGAAGTAATATTCCTATTCCTAGCTTAAGAGCTGAAAATAATTTAATATGGTTGCCTGTTTCATTGCTTGTTGGGTCTTTTTCCAAATCATAGAGGTCTGTATTGACAAAGTTTCCAGTTCTGTTGTACATGGAGCAAAGGCGGATGCAAAGTTCAGATCTCCACAGTATTGATGCTCATCTATAGCATCACAAAGAGGCCCTACAATTCTACTGAGTGACTTCATTTCTAGTTAGAATGCCAGGCAGCTGGTCCTAGCTATACAAACTATTGGATCAAGCATCCAATCTTTTGAAAAGATCAATCTGACAGTTAAATCCCATAGTCACTACTGAGTATAGATTATGGAATGTTGGAACTGAATATTAAATCCTGGTTTCATCAAATAATGCAATTCCCCTTCCTGGATCCCATGAAGTCTTTCTTCTTCAGTTCTTCTACCACACAGATGGTTGCTGTTCAGGAACCAATAGTTTCACTGGATTATTTGTGTTTTGCCTTTGCAAAATCTCATCAAAGACTCCTGTAGAGTATTCAGCCCTCCTGAAAATGACTGAACCTGAAACCCATGTGGATATATACAGGGCCATATGAAAGGTATGGCACTTTGATCAGGGCCCTTGCCAGCTCAGGACTGGGCCCTCACTGGTTCTTTAACATGCAGCAGTCTCTCCTCATCCTTTGTCTGAGTATTGAGAGAATAATCACTTTTCTTCTGTCAAATTTATGATGTCACAGGAGCAGTTGTTTTTGTTGTTGTTGTTGTTGCTCAGAAATAGTTCTTGTCAAGGTCAAAGGTATAACCATGGCATAAAAAAACCGTATGCTTTTGTTTTTTCAAGTGGAAGATACTTTCAGTCTGAATATTTGATGTGTATTTTTGTAATATTCCTCTATGATTCTATACTTTAATTACAAAGCAAGGAAAATCAAACAACCTGCCCTTACATGAGCTAGGAATCACTGATGCCAGTAAGTTAATTAATTTACTCAAGCCAGTATCAAAGATTTTTCTTATCATCTCTTGCTCTAAAAAACCCAAATCCCTACCAATAAAAATATAATCCCAACACTGTTACAGAATCATCTCACTTTATGCATATGCACTTGCTCCAGAAGCAAAACCTTCAGAACACAACAGCTATCCTGAAGAACCTTTGTTGCAAAACCAGATGATCATAAACACAGTGAATCCCAAAGAGAATTTCTTTCTTGTTAGTCTACTTAACGAAATTTTTATTTGACATAACACTATCCTCCTGACAGGCTGATTGCCACCTAATGTTTTATGGTGACCTGTCAATGAGATTTTGCCAGTTTTTCCCATCTTTTGTCTGCTCTAACACAATTGATGCTATGTGCCTGCTGAGCACCTTTCTTCTACATTTACTGGCCAATTCCTCCATTTCCAACTTGTTTTTTTTTCCCAAAAGTTTCGTGATAATTACATTTCCAAAAGCACTTTAAAGTTATTTGCTGCAGACATTTATTCATGTGAATAAATCATATGTTAGTGAAATAATTCCACTAATTACTAACAGGGTTTACATGCAGACAAGAAATTGGAACTTGAACATCCTTGGGGAAGGAAGGTACTGGGAGAGGGGTGTAACCTGGGAGAGGTGAGGTAACTTACCTGTCAAATAGTTCTCCACCAGTGACTAGTTCCAGAACAAGACTGATTTCTGTGGGGGTCTCAAATATCTCCTTCAGTTTTATCTGGTAAAAGATAACAGAAAGTATTTCCTTTGCTTATTTATCTTCTTGCTGAGCATATCTGAAGGTCAAGAGTAGAAAATAGACCACAGCTGGGAGAGTTACCTTTCTATCTCACAATTTTTTTGCTAGTTTTTTTTCTTTTTTTTTCTTTTTTTTTTGTAGTTTTTTTAGTTATTCTCGTACCCCAGTAGCCTCTGTGAAATACAGGAATTTAAGAGGCTGTCTGCCAATCTCTCAGAGAAACCAAAAAGTAAGATCTTTCCTACCCTCCTAGGACTGAAAACACCAACTTCAACTTTCATTTGCAGAACTTATTTCACATAGCTTTTCACTCAACTCTGGAAGAACATCAATGTTTTATTTTAAAATTTCAACAGATGTTAATTGAAAAGCTGCTGGCATGCCTGCAAAGAAAACCCAGATCTTTAATCCAGATCTGTACAGGTGAACCACAACAGTCTTCTCTCACAAACAGAAAGAGTTTTAAAAAACAAGGAAAGAAATATGGAACGAAAGAACATGGCTAAACTTACAATGTTGGGATGTGAAAGGCGAAGAAGCACTCCAATTTCAGTGCGGACAATTTTCTTGTCTACCTGGTTAAAAGTGGGGAGGGAAAAAGGGAAAAAATTATTTTCATGTTCAGCATAGAAACTTCTGGATGAAAAACAGGGTGCTACATATGAATAGCACTTCTAGATCTCCCAGAAGAGTGAAGTAATGTGAGACACACAAGTCAAAATCACTGCAAAGAGAAATTTTCTGCTAACACAAGATGAATACTAGAACAGAGAAATGTCCACATCCGGCAAAATGATTACAAATACACATGTGGGTCACACAAGAAGTACAATACAGAAAGGTATCTGAAAAAGGTGGGAAAATTCCTATTTTTGCTCAGGTTCTGACCTTGTCTATTGCTACTTATGTTTGTTGAGTTTATGCTAGGATAGCTTTCTTTTGACACGCTGTCCATCAGCTGTGCTGGAAAAGGTTTCTACATGTAGGATGTGCTCATCAAAGTAGTGTAACTTACTGGTTAGAACAAAAAATGATACAAAGGTCAGATACCTCCAGCTGCAGAGTATAAGGTTTAACCTCAATTTGCTTCAATTATCTCTGACAGAATGATCTATTAATTCCAATTATTGGTTAAACCTCTGAGAAGGATAGTCTGAGAAGACTACCCATTCCCTTTTCAAACTGGAGTCTTCACCAATCCAGGCACAGCTTATGTTCTTGGGGGACATCAGTAATTTCCCACAAGAAATGCAGAGCTAGGGAGTATTTCATTCAGGAAAGATAACTGCAGCTCTCCTGGAGCTAGAATGCTTAAGCAAGCAAGAATGGAAAATGTTTGTAAGCAAATTATGAATGCCTTTATGTTTCTAAGGCAATTAATACATTTATGAGGAAACTATCTAGTTTGCAAATATCCTCCCAAACCCTAGAGAAGTCCTGCACTGATGACTCAGGGGGTTCTGAAATGAATGAGAGTCAGCAAGTCACTGTGTGGTTCAAAATTGATGACATACATGACGTCAAGTAGAACATTCTGAGAGGAACTTGCACTGCTCTTTTTTAGTGTAGGTTTTTTATCAAAGGCAAGTTTTGGTTTTGGTTTTTTACATCAGATGGGAAATGAATGGCAGTCATAATACATAAACCTTTAAAGGGGACATAAAATTACCTTCAAATTCTTAGAAGACACATGGGGTTTTTTTAATTATCTGTAAGAAGAGAGCTACTTCTCTGTCATTTATATTTTCCAGCATCAACAAAATCCAGGTATCCATTACATTCAGAACTCCTGGATAGGCAGAATTTGATTCTTCCCTTGTGTGAATCAGGGATGATTCCAGCTTAGTAATGCCACAGTGCATTACTGTGACACTGGTGTAAATGAATAGAGAACTAGAGCCCTCAGGGCTTTCTTAAAACTTACTGACATTCAATCTCTTCTAGTGGCTCTGCCAGGAAGGAAAATGATTCAAGAAAAACCAACTTTGGACAAATGCAGTGCATGTAAGAATAAGCAGAAATCAAACATTGAAGACGAATGAAATATTCTATTACCTGAACATCTAACTGAAGGTAAATAATACGGCCAATAACAAAATCTTCATGGAGCAAAACACTTGCTCTGGGATCAAACCCCGGACCCTTAAAGTTGTGACCAATGTATGCTTTATAAATGTTTTTGCTTTCTACTCCAAATGCAACTAACAAATGCTTTTTCTTTCTACAAAAACACCGAGCAGCAGGTTTGAGGACAGGCTCCCGCGAACTTTTCCTAAAATGCTGCTATCACCAGCCTGTGGTCTTGCTCAGTTTTAACATCTCTTTCACATTACTTTGGATTACTTTAGTGAGTGCAAACATGCAGAAAAGGCCCCCAAAAGTCAGTGTTGGGCAGCAAAGGGCTTCTGATGACAAAATAACACATGGTGAGATTGTTTTCACACACTTTGCTCCTTAGTCAGGATCAGAAAAATTAATGTACAATTGTGTATGGACAGTGATATCCCCAGGAGAGCAGCTCAGACTGAAAAATTTACCTTATCCAAAAGCACTGATATAGACTGAACAACCCACTGTTTTTTCCTTCAGTTTTGAAAATGATTGGGCACCAAGCACACCTGGAAGCAAGCACGGAAAAGGCTGCCCAAAATCTAAAGATGACTTCTCTCAGCACAGCGTATGCCACAAGTGAGAAACTACAGAGGCCTCCTCTTACCTTGCAGATACCAACTAATGGAGTGAAGACATGGACTAAGACTCAATTTTATGTTCTTGGTTTCACAGATATTTACTCTCAAACTGTAGGTCAATTCCTTTGTGATCAAGTTTGTGACCTGACACACAATACTAGACTTTCACAATTTCTCAGATGATGGTATGAAGGAAAAGGTATTTCAAAATTCAAGATGATAAGATGCAATATGCAAATATGCCACAGAGAAACTTAGGACTGTTACATATTTATGTATAATGGCTATTGGGATAAATTTTACTACAGAAATGGGCATATATAGGTGATATGAATTGTTCCAGACTACAAACAGGGACATATTTAGTCATGACATTTCATTACAGACAGCCTATTTTATCACTTTAATTTTCTTACCTTCTCCTACGCTAAGTACAGATAGAGTTATGTCAACACTAACCTTGTTTAAGATCCTAACAAAAAAAAGGGTACCTATTTATATCAGGGCCAAAACTGGCTTATTTTTAGTTTGGGCAGGAGTATCAGCAATTCAACTGCTTATATTGAACTTTCCTACCATCATCCTATCCTAACAGAAATTATTTGCTAGGATGAGAGTCAGGCACCTCATTCTAGAGTGTATTGCAGAGTGTATGTTGCTATAGTAACAATTTTTAAAACTCGGATAATTTAATCAAGATATGTCATTATCAGAAATGTTTGGGCAAATTAAGTATGTTGGGCTAGATCAAATACAATGGTATTTGATTTGTGTGTATGTAATAACCGATCAAAATGAAGTTGCAAAACTCCTTATTTTGTTTCCTCTTTGGATGCAATTTAAATAGGCAGTACAGTGCTTGACAACTCTCTGAGCTTTCCTTAAATTAGCGTTACTCACAGGAGCATCAGTGAGATATGTGTGAGTATATTACAGTGAAGAATGGTCTGTTTGTGAAGTGAAAAAAATAATCCAACTTTCAGAGATTTCACAGTTCCTCTACTTTAGCAATTATTCTTCCATCCTTTATTCTTTGCTTTTAATCTATGCTAAATGGACTAGAGTATGCTTTTGGTCTAATATTTCATCAGTACAATTTGATTTCTACTTAAATGATTACCTTACTTTATGTGAAAAACATTACCTCTGTGCCAGGTCGTGTAAATGCCTGGTCAGGTGATTTTAAGACTGGTGCAATTTTACTGAGCTGTATTTTATGTATTTGCAAACTTTAAATTGCAAGTAATCAAGAGGCATTTGCTGTGATAGGCCTGCAGAGCAACAACCTGCTGTGGAACACCCAAGTCAATTAGAGAAGTCATTTTATAGGTAAACCCAAGTTACTTATCATCCTTTCATTGCTGACTCTGCTTGAAGATTTCACTGTCATAGGCCAAAAAAACCCAAAGAAGGTTGTTAGGTGGCCTGTGATTATTAAAACCCATATTTTTCCACAGATTACCTGTGGAGACATGTGGAATGATGAAAGGCAGAAAATCTGCAAGAAGTGCTTGTAGGTGCAGCCACTGCCTAATGCTGTGGCTTCCAGTGCTCCTCAGTAAACTCCAGCAAGCAAACCAGGAGCTGTGACTGTACCACAGAGAAGCATCTGCATGCTGGCTTTAATCTAGATAAATAAAGTACCTGCAGCAGCAAGGATCTAAAAGCTTGAACCTGGGCGCAAGAGGCAATCTAGGAATGCTGCTCCCTCAATTTATAATAAAGTATTTACATTAAAAGGGTGATCATTCCTGGATTATTCATAGTATTTTTCTCTCTTGCTATTTCACTTCAGTAGAATTAGGTATTTATCTCTTTTATAGACATGTGTCTGCAATTTCCCTGTCTTTGAAATTTTATACTGGTCATACATAAAAGGAGCACTAGATTTATATTCAGTGTATTTCTTATTTTTGAATTTCAGATAAGAGAAAGGAATGGAAAATTCCTTAATGAAAGCTGAGATTCTTCCATGTTTCCATGCCCCCCGATGGTGAGGTGGAGTAATGCTAAAAAAACACTATAAAAGCTGTAAAAGTGTTGTTTCTGTGTGAATTAAATGAAACAAGATTAAAAAAGAACCGCTACTTTACACAGATTAATCCAGCTGCTGCTTGGCAATATAATACCACCCTAAAAACAGGTGACCAACAGATGTTCTCTGTACCCTCAAACTTAGGTAGAGAGGAAAAGGTAGAGCACATTCCTCATCCTGGAAGTTCAGTCTCTGCTGTTGTCCTTCCCCTGGGCACTGTGGAGGCAAAGGGGCACATTTGCCCAGGTTGACCACTGTGCAGGTTGGGTGATAACTATAAACAGGCAATGGGCGTGAAGAAACCAATGCAACACATCTCCTGAGGAGCTTCACAGCATTGCCCACCTCGGGGAGCCTGTTCACACCAGCTCTGCACAGCTCCTTAATTAATATCCCACTTCTTGACTCACATGACCACCACTAATGAGCAATGCATTCCTTATTGCCAGCAGGTCAGGCTCTGCACTTCTTCTGCAGCTTCTCTGCACTTACAGGGATTGCAGTACAAGGCTTTATTAGCTTGACACTACACTATTAAAAGAGACAAAGTTTTATTTGCTCATACAGTAACTGTTCTGAAGCCCAAAACTTTCTTTATTTTATGGCATCAGTTGCGAATTACCATTTATAATTTTGCCATTATTTTGGCTTCTCACAGTTAAGCTGAAATATTAAAACCTGTACAGACATAGACTACATACAAGCAGATCTGTCAGTTCCTTGACAGTCTAAAAGATCTATTCCCAACTGTCACAACTAAACACAGGAGTGATGGGTTATCCAGGCTCTCTTGAGAGGTTTGAAGAAAAAAGAAATAGGCTTGAATTTAAAGACTGGATTTAAATAAATC